GAGGGACCTGAGGACGGCCCCTAGGGAAGGGACAGGGCTGGGGACAGCCCTGAGGGATGGGGGAGGCTTGGGGACACCACCAGGGGAGACAAGATTCCTGGAGATGTCCCCAAGGAAAGGGTGGGGAACAGACCCAAGGATGTCCCTGAGGGTTGGGAGAGACCTGAGGACATTGCGGAGGGACCTAGGGATGTCCCCAAGGGTTGGGAGAGACACCACCAGGGGAGACAAGATTCCTGGAGATGTCCCCAAGGAAAGGGTGGGGAACAGACCCAAGGATGTCCCTGAGGGTTGGGAGAGACCTGAGGACATTGCGGAGGGACCTAGGGATGTCCCCAAGGGTTGGGAGAGACCCAGGGATGTCATGGAGGGACCCAGGCATGTCCCTGAGAGATGGGAGAGAGATCAGAGATGGGGGATCAGAGATCAGGTTTCAAGGGAGACATGACCCCCCCCCAAAGATGTCCCCAAGGGAGGGACAAGAGAGACTCAGGGGTGTCCTTGGGGAAAAAGGAGAAACCTAGAGACATCTCTTAAAGAGGGGACAGAGTCAGAGGTGTCCCCAAGGCCTAGGAGACCCTTGGGGATGTCCCCATGGGATGGGAGAGACCCAGGGATGTCCCCAAGGCCTAAGAGGCCCTTGGGGACATCTCCACGGGATGGGAGACCCTTAGGGATGTCCCCAAGGCCTAGGAGATCCTTGAGGCCATCTCCTTGGGATGGGAGACTCTTGGGGATGTCCCCACAGGATGGAAGAGCCCCAGGGATGTCCCCAAGGCCTAAGAGACCCTTGGGGACATCTCCACGGGATGGGAGACCCTTAGGGATGTCCCCAAGGCCTAGGAGACCCTTCCCCCCCCCCCCAGCCACAAAATAAAGCTTCTGAGCAGACCCTGGTGCTGGTATCTCCTTGGGGGGGGCTCAGGGAGGGCAGGGCAGGGCCTGGCACCGGCAGAGCCCTAACGAGGGCCTTAACGAGCCGGGCGATAACGGCCCATGTGACGCGGGGGCCCGGACGCCTGGGTCCGTCCCGGTGGCCTTGAGCTTCTGGTAATAACAAGGGTTATCGCGGGGAGGGAGCCCAGGTGTCCGGGTCCGGCCCCGTGGCAGGGCCCGGCCCGCACCCCCCCCCCGCTCCCCGGGC